TTACAAACATGCAGTTACGTCGTGAAGACATTCTGCAGGGGTAACGTCCAACGGCATGTATGACCCTATATAGGATTATCTCCTTACACGACTTCACATATGTCCCCTAAATCTACATACATAGTATATCTGCCCGAAATCAATATTGACCAAAAAAGAGGTGTATTTTATATTTTTAACACGGAAACTTTCGGACCAGATTGTAGAGTATTTTTGTGTTATTAATTAGTATTGTATTGTATTAGTATAGATTGTTATTATTATCAAAATACTAACACGACTCCAGTTTTATTATCGGGTGTGGTTTATGAGACATCTAAGGACGTTCAATCTCTGAAAGTTTAGATGATCATCCAGACGAGGATATCTGAAGGTAAGGATGCTGGAAGTAATCTGATAGACGGAGAAGATGATTCGGTAACATGAAAACTTTTGTGTCTGACCAGGACAGAGTTGTTTCCCTGGGCTCCTTCCAAAGGACGTCCTTAGGTCGTACTAAGCCGCAACTATGAATTTATGCAAATCGAGATAAGGCAGCCTCCTCTAGTTCATAGGGTTCCACGATCTCCTGGCTATTTTCCCAAGGAGATGGTCCTAGCCCGTACCGTCTGTATTAGCAGTGCTCTTGGTAAGAAGAAGTAAGGAGAGTGAAGGGTGGGAGAGGGGTGGCTCATAAGGGATAGTGGCTTACAGTTCCGACTCGGCACGTTCCAGACTACCCTTAGTCCTTCGTATAGAACCATCAGACTTAACCGAGTGTTAAGTTTAACTAGTGTTGAGACCACGAGAGCAACTCGTAAGGCCTCTAAACCTGCGCGACTAATCTTTGCGACAGGGATACGTGTGTGTGTGAGAGAGAGAGAGAGAGAGAGAGAGAGAGAGAGAGAGAGAGAGAGAGGTATAGGCAAAATTGTGTCATTTCACTTGCGTTACGATCACTGTCACATGTCATCGAAAGAAGTCGATAAGAATAGGTTGAAGAAAACTGAGAAACAGGAAGTCGCGGTTTTACTATCGATAACAAAGAGAACCTTCGATCATTCACTTTTCCCCAGGGCACCAGTGGTCAGAGGAGTGACCGGGATAACAAAAAGACATTTTGTCCAGTGAGTCATGTCCTCTTGCTAAATATTTCTTCAAGGAGCTTAAGATTTCATCATATTCAGCTGTAAATAATGTTCTGTCACTTCGTCCGAACCGGAAGTCAATGCAGGTCTTAAGAAAGATATAAATTCTTAGCTATGCGACCTCATTGCTTTTCCATAGACTTTCTGCCTTCCAAATTGTACTTTCGTACACCGAAGGGATCTGACTGTTAGATACGATCGGTCGCGTGATCGATCTAGGGGTAGTGTGTCCTGAATGGCTAGTCCTATTTCCCTTTTCTCTAAGTAGCTTGGTATTTATATTGTCTGCATGTATTCAGTACGTACGAGAATCTACGTCAGGCCATGAAACGTTCTTGGCGCAACCCCCTACATTTATTCGTGTCAGATCATCCCGAGGCGATAGCGGAAAATCACTAATGCACCCTTTCGTGCTGGACGCACTTATCTACACCCTACGACCGTGTTCTACATAGTCATAACTATATGCATATTGTTATATACGTATATAGTATCTATCTATCAGTAAATTTGTTGTCATTCGACTTCCGGTTCTTTTCTTTTGTCCGTCAATATAATTAATCTTACACGAATTTTGTTTTCTAGCGATAAATATGGCGGCTGTTTAATAAATAAGATTCATACGCTGTACGTATCATTCAGAAATTCTAACGGATGGAATTATTTTTTTTATCGATCAAATCAATCACTTACTCAAAGTTGACATTCGCGTGTTAGTTTATCTAACCTTGTCGATCTTCACCATTAGTCTTTATTCCGATGCCAGAAGCATTCATCCCTTGACAATTCTTACAATTTCAATTAGTCCATCCAACGCCTGTTAACCCCCATTCGCTTTATTATCACGAGCTATCAGATCGGGTCTAACGATCTGTCTTATTAACTCGAATGTTTCGTTCTTAGGAGCTTTCTGGTATTTGGACAAATTTTGTTCAGTGTTGAATTACAACTCTTGTCCTTTGTCTCCTTCGATCCTCGGTTCATATCTACCCTTATAATAGATACAGATATTTCGGAAAGCAGCCAGTCGAGTATTTCGTCAAGTCGTACTTTTCTTTTTTCACATGAGCTTTTGGCTACGCCATTGCGGCAAATCTGTATCCTGACATCCTGACGCGGCACGGTATAGCGCATTACAAAGCTCAGCAGATTGCAGTGTGCTTTCGAGCTTACGGCCGATAATGTTTTCATATTGTGTCGTTGGCTGTCGTTCCTCGTGTGCCTTCTGTCATTCCTACATGTCCCTTGCCATACTTACCATATTAGTATGTTCATATGAAGTAACGTCATAGGTAGGACATATGTGAAAAAATTTCAAATCAAAACTTTCCTCCCAGAAGAAATCCTTGAGTGCGAGGGTATAGGGGACGAAAATGATCTTCCTGTAATTTTCTTGGATTTTGTAATTTTCTTAATTTCCCACTCTCTCGCGGCAGTGACGTCTCACTTAAAATTGTGCATCGCCGCCAAGAGCTTCCGAGCCCTGAAGATGAGTATATGAAGAGAACTTGAAAAGCACCCGAAGAGACACTTGAGAGAAATGCGAGTGTGCTCTTCCCCTTTCTTTGCTCTGCTTCACGTTTGTCTCCTTTACACTCATGAATATATATATATATATATTCGTATATATACACATGTGGAGCTTAACGAGCCTTAATTGGCTCTTGAATGAATCCTATTCGTTCCACTCGCCAGCCCTATACCCTGTATTACTGTTTTGTAAAGTTGACTGTACGGGACCGTTTCTCTGTGTCCTCGGATAAGAATGAGAAAGGACTAGAGGTAAAAGGAAGAGTTCCATGGAGGGAAATGAAAAACGGTATTGTATTGACGATTGGGTCATTACTGTCTTTTTATAGCCACTTGGAGACTTGCACGTAAACAGGTAATACTTGTAGCTGGTATAGAACGTGGAAAATTGTGGCACGCGCTGGTTCGCACGTTGGGCCGTTAACAAGGGGTCAGACGGGTTGCTGACAAAAAAGTGTGAGAGATCGACATATGGCCGGTAAGCTTAGCTAAGATAAGGGATGCGGAGACAAACATTTGCACAGTGACGCCTTTGCTTGTTTCGAGAGATACTGCGGATTTTTTTTCTGACGAAATAGGTAAAAATCCTACCTGACGGAAACCTTTAACGACGACGTGGATATTAAATTTTTTTTTAGTTACGATATAAATTTTTCAAAACTTCTTACGACGATGATAATAATTTCAGATTTAACAGTGTCAATGGTCCATTTTATTTAGAGGGGAGGCAAGAGGGGGAGAGCGTGCAGATACGAGTGAATGAAGGTAAGGGGTCAGGGACGGAGAAGAACAGAAAGGGTGGGGTGAAAATTTATTTTCCTTAGAATTCTCCTCCCTTCTATCCCCCTTTTGTCGAAAACACTGCGGGTTAGTTTTGATGAAAAAAAAAGTTTCGGGAAAAAGAAAAACTTTGACAAGAACAAAAAGCACCATCGTTCTCGGTGCTTTCGTTATTTCCAGAAAGATAGACTCTTAGGCAGTGTCCGGCGAGAAGGGGTAAGGCTGAAGGGTGAGACGGAAAAAATCTGGCGAGACCGAAGTCAAAGCCGCCATTAATGAGAACCAAAAGCGACAAGAGTTTTAAGCTGCGTAACGAACGGAAGAAGCTTCCGCGCTCTTTGATTTAAATTCCAACGACTTTTCAAACTTTTACGTCTCCGCTTAGATTGTTCAGTCAGAAGGCAAAAAGACTTTTTAACGAGCCATCAGGTTGACCGTTTCTCTGCTTCTAGAAGGATCTCTTGACTGGTCCGTTCTGTCTCCTCTGGATCATCAACCACATCAAAGTATACTTTGTGATTGATTCTTAAGACGGAAATGAATTTTTCCTTTGCTGGTCCATACCGTCTCCTCTGGATCAGTGACCACATCAAAGTTCAGCCTGCGATTGTTCCTTAAGAAGGAAATGAATTTTCTTTTTGCTTCGAACTTCTTCAAGTCAAATCTTCGTTTTTTTCCCCTTGACAGAAACTTGTGTATCTAAGCAGCATCGAAGCTACCATATGGCCAAAGTATAGATATAGATATAGGCATAATGTAAGCTTATCAAAGATAAGTCGCCGCAATTAAAGTGACCCCTCTAATCAACCCCTCTCCTCTTCAGGCTGCCTGACTAACCATTTCCACTACCACTAACCGAACGGTACCTATTCCCTTTAGGTACCCCGCCTTCTCTCTATCTTGTCCACGTATCACATCAAGGCTAGTTACCAGCACCTACCACATTTATATCTACCACCTAGCCAGCGTAGCAGCTTAGCCTACTGGCTTTACAAACCTGTATGAAATCTTGTTATCGATCGATCGGAGGGGTCGACTTTTAACGAGCGTCCGATAAGCTACGATATGCGGTTTTCCTGCTTCGATTCGACACAAGCTCAACGTGATATCGAACCTTTTCATCTAGTATGAATCCGCGTAAAATAAAACTCAGATTTTCCAAAGTGCTTTTATCAATTAACCTTTACAGAATGTCCCTGTATAATTCGCTCGATTAAGATTACTTAATGGAATTTGTTAAAAGCATTTTTGTTTTCTTGTCTTATATACACCATATATATATAAATGTATGATACACTTTCAGAAATCAAAAATTTTACTTTTTTCGTTACAGTACATTTTTTTAATTAAAATTTTAACTTATTGCACTAATAGTCTTTTCCACGGCGTCCCAAAATTTTCTCACGCTGCTTCATTAATTCTTCTGCCGTTATTTGTACCTGACATCTATTCGCGTATCTGTGACACTTAATAGTGCCGCAGCATTGTCCGTCGGATACGCACTGAAATCAAAAGGAAAAAAAAATTGATTAAAGTCATCATTATAATATGAATAAACATATATGCAAATTTTTAATTTTTATTCGTATGCTGTATTGACTTCGAAAAAAAGTTCCGGTGAGAACTAACATAATGTCTTGAGAAAATTACGAAATTTCATATTCTGCAATTTTTCGTGCTAGTGTTACGCATTTGTCGTTTCATGAACGTGCGGTTTAATTGCGAAGTGAAATCGCGTTGATATTTCCCGGCACGCGATAAGAACGTCATGGCGTTATCATTTTGGGATTTCCAGATCGCTACTCGTCCTGCTAATGGACAGAAACGTATAGATACACACGCAGCGTCGCAACGTCTGAACAGACGTGGACGCCTTGCGATCTTCTACTAGATTTATTATATTTATAGTAACAGTCACATTCTTTAATCTTCATTATGTATTTTATATTGCGAACCAGCCATTAATACTATTGTCATGTATTAATAAAAGACCCGTGATCGTTGAAATTGATTATTAATCATAATTAAAATTAATTTTATTGAAATACTTGAAATATGATTCACGCATATGATCCATGATAATACTAATAAAATACAAGCCATTTAATGACTGTCGATTAAAATGAAAATAATTAAATTCTTGAATCAACCAATTTCTTTTCAAAAATATCTCCAGTCTATCTATAATCATACAGGACTTTTGGAAATGGCTCGTATGGATAAATGTAATGTATGACTATATCCCATAAGGAAATCGTGATTGCGTAATAGCGTGCATTATAGGGTAGCAAATGATTAAATAATTTTCCCATATGCAACACCTTGATATCTTAACCATGCTTATAGCTGCCAAATAATACTATATCTATGTCTACTGAAAATGTTTTTTTTTTTTCCAAATTTTAATCAATCTTTCGCCGATGATCCACGCTGTCTTTAGGCCGCTCCTTTTCCTTCAGGGGTTTCTTCCCGACAGAACCCTGTTTGCTGACGCAATGCCCGGCATAGCTGTGACACCATAAATTGGAGCAGCACTCTCTGTTCTCGCGGCACTGCATCAAGAAGATCAAGAAGACATCAACAAGATTCAGTCTCACCAGCGCAGACCAAGAGATTCTCAAATCTACTACGTTAGGGGTCGCATAAACAAGACCCCTAACTGAACTCCAACCTTGTACTTCCTAGTACCGTCCTTATCGCTGTAATCACGCGTTTGCGCACGTGTTATCACTAAAAATTGCAAAGCACCACGACAACAAATTCTTAGAATTTCCGTACGACGCATTACACGCGATCAAAATGATTTATCAATCTTACAATAATAATAAACAATCACATCGCTCCGTTGCTTCCATCAGTTATTACTCCGCTTGTCGTCGTAGTGCTTATCGCAATGATGATGCGTAAAAGGCATCGCTCGATGAGTTTAATGTTTAATGCTTGAAAGGTTTACTGACGGGGTCACCGTGTCGACCGCAATTGGATTTATCAGGAGCCGCATTGATAACGCCCACGACCAGCAGAGCCACGCATAGGAAGAGAACAAGCTTTGTCGTCATCTTGTCGTTTCTGAATATTGTATCTGAAAGTAAAATTGAACAATTACAAAAATAATAATTCTCAAATTATAAAAAAAAAAGAAAAAAATCGAAAAACACTGATAAGCGTAATCATTCATAAGCATGTGTACATAGTACTATACTAACTTATTAAACAATTGGCGACGACAGTCATTCGCTACGATATTTACACTCGGCATATTATACACAGCAATCTAGTCAGTTACCTCGCAAATGTCCCAATAAGAGACGAGGACTGATTAACCTTATCGACGGTGTGTACAAGTGAATCATTTTTCCACGTATCCCACAAGCATTGTTTCGTCCACGCGTTATAATTCTATTCAGCGATTATACTTGTAGATGAAGAATATTCAGCTATGCAATAAGAACAAAGAGATTTGTCAACTGTTTACGATAAAGAAAGTCCGCGTCCTTGTTCTTCCACTTTACAAGCCTAATCTAGTTTAATAGAGTCTACACATTTCACATGGACAAACATAAAGCCCGTTATAGTCGATCAATTCTGGATTGTTTGCCTTGAAATGAATACCGTGCGCGCACGGTACCACGTGCGTACTTTCGAATGTTTGGATACAAGGATTTCTGGAATAACGAAGAAACGATAAAAATCTTTTGACAATTTTAATTTTGACAAATCGATTACTAACGGCGCTTAGCATAAGTTTCGTCCATCGTTCCAATGTTTCTTTGTTCGACTAAATATACATGCATATATCAATGCTATATGTACAAGTATATATAGATTTAGACGAATGATTTCTTGAATTTATTCTATACTTGTCATTCCTTTTTTTTGACACGAATCTGTATTTTGAACAACGGATGTATATATACATATATCGTTCGGTAAACACGAAGTAATAGTCATACATTGACAATGTCAGAATTTTCCACTCAAACATGCATATAGTGATAAAACACCTGATGCAAATAAGTGTTATACATACTTGAATAGGCAATCCTAATATTGCCAATACACGATTATTACTCGGGAGCAATTGACTGTACAAAATATTAATGTATAATGTAAAAAAAAAAAGTAGATATAGAAGGTTTAACGATGTCGCTAATCGACGCTTTGAAAGCGAATGCAATCAACGTGCCATTAAACGTACTTCCAAATTCATTGCCTAACGACTGTTTTCTTGTCATGTATATCGGCAAAAGGAATCTTACGTGCGTCATTAGCAACCACTGTCAATGTCACTGTACAAACACAACCGTACAAACCCCTTAGATCTAATGATTAGAGAGGTGTATCTAATAGATATTTAACACGAAGCAACGTAAATCAAAAAGAAAAAAAAAATTATTTGGAAAAAAAATGATCGATTATCATTAAACGTCAGTCGATCGATTAAGGAAGAAGTAATAATAATAATTTTTCAACTTTTAATCAGTCCTGGGATTTTTATTGTGTAATCGCTATGTGCAAACTGATAGGGTTCGATTAGATTTTTTAAATGTTAAATCTCAATAATAATCTCTGTACTCACTGAGGTTAGTTTTAGTTTGGGATTAATCCGTCTCGGGAATTGTCGCTGCTTTGAAAACGTCTGAACTTCTCCACGGCTCGACTTCGATTGGCTTCTAGGATGGATCACGACCTACTTATACGTGCAGTCCTCCACAGCTATACGATCAAGTGTTAACCTTGCGTATAGATACAGAAGAACGTAATGGCATAAGAGTATACTAAGTAAAGCCTGATATACACGAGAGATCGCGAAATCTTATGGAGTCGTGATGTTGTAAATAGGTTTGCGTAGGATTGGCTGTGAGAGCGACAGAAGATTTTCAGTGAAAGGAAAGGACGGAGGTAACGAAACGTCATCGACCGAGGATGATGATGAGGGAGTGGCGGTGGGGGGACGTGGAGAAAAAGAGACAAAATCGTACGGGACCGAAAAAGGAAGAAAAAAAAGTAGGCGATGTTATTTCGGTGATTTTTTTAGGCGCGTCAGGTTTTGATACTTGAAGCGAGTCTCTATATTTTGCTTTAACGATTATTGTTAGTCATTTATTTTTCCATATATTGGTAAAATGAGGAAAATTAACACTTGATAACATTATTTTTCATATTTGCGTATTATATACGATTATTAGTCTCGACTGATTTCCACGTAATCTCGTGTATGTCCGTACTGTGGCGTTTCGTAGAAGCGAGACGTAAACTCGCTTTCTTTTTGTTTCCGTCCCAAGAAAGTATCGCGACTAAACGGTATAGCGAAGAGTGACGACGATAATTATTGACTTTGCGATATTTGTGGCGGGTGTTGTTTCCGATAAGATAGAAGAAAAAAGATCATAGCCTCCAGCAAATTAAAAAGAAAATTGATTGGATTTATTTCCCAAAGGACTAAAAGATGGATTTTAACAGGTATCAAAACTAATCGTTTTTTTTCTTTTTGTCAAGAATCACCGTATCGCCCTGTATACCCAGGTGTTCCCCAGCAAAGAAAGTCGTACCAGCAGAAGAAAGAAAAAAAATAATAATAAATGAAAACCATAAAAAAAATCAATGCTCTTTGGAATTGGTCGATAAACGCAAGAATTCACTCGTAATCGTGGAGTTCTAAGAAAAAATAAATATATCCTTAATCGTAGCAATGCAAAGCGTCAGCTAGCCGACACATGTGTACCATTTGCAACAAACTACACGGTGTCCATGAATAATCGCGCAATGAGTCAGAGTGTCCCAGAGGGTGACGGCCAAGGTCTCGTTTCCTTTGTTGTCCTTTCGTAGAAACAAAAAGAAAGTCAACATATCCAGTAGAAGGTTTGTCAAGCAGGAGCGTCCCGACGCCCCGACGCACTTGTCCCACGAACTGCCTGACATAAGCAGAATTTCAATAAGTAGGAAATCCCTGACGACATTGGCCCGGTATTCATCCTATTGGTACATCAGTAGTGTATTCGTGTACTCAGACTTTTTTTAAATCGGCCATTGTATTCAAAAGTGGCCACGCGATACAATTGCGTGATAGCTCTATAAATTATAGATAATGGACGCCACTATCGTCGATGGTGGGACTGAGTGATGACAGTCGACCAACGACTAGCAGAATCGCAAGAGAGTCAGGGTTATCTTGAGAGAGACTCAAGACAGAAAAAAAAGACATCGCAAAGCATCGTAGCTCTCGGTGACCCCAATTCGTTAAAAAATATCCCCATTACTTTTGCGTCGCGACGCCACAGCATTCGCGGCGTCTGTTACAGCCGTGTAACAAGTAGCCAACTGAGAAATAAGGTACGGAGTGAGTTAAGGAAACAATTAGACCGGTAGCATCCCTTGTGGGAATAAGGGTGAGGACTGAAGGTCTTTAACCATCTCCAAGGGGTGCAAGGGGTGAAAACTTAACTTAAACACAGCGAAGTCCCAGTAGCGTAAGGGCGCAAGGGAGACGTCTGAATTACAGGCGTCAGAGCGCTCAACCCTCGAGTCAGTCGCGTGTCTCAACCCTTTCCTTGAGCCAAGCAACTTCCACACGCACTTCCTCTCGACTTCCGGCGCTAACGCCTCGTTTCCGGTACACGCGACGTACCCTATCAAGTAACGCTAATCTTCCGGTACACGCTCTCTTGGAATTAGCATAAACCGGTATAAGCGCACAGGGGTACGATAAATGCATACCTTTATTTCTTTCAAGGCTAAATAACGCAGTATCCTTGTGTTTCCTTATTACCCGAACGCTAAATGGGGTAGATTTGCAGAGTGTGGACGTTACCTAATTCAAGAAGTTCCCTATCGATATTCTACGCTCTAACAATAAGTGATAAATCCTTTACGCTATCCCTGTAGGAGTTGGTGTCGTGCTGTCTTGCGCGGTTTTGCCGGAACAATCTATTGCCCTTCTACTCAGGGGATGTACAGTTCGCCTTACTGGTATCCCTTGCCCTTACAATCTCCTCCCCCCTTACTATTCCGAAACCCCCCTCTTCCCGTCTTGCCTAACTCTTGGCTACTCCTATGCTCCATCCATAGCGTATACTGGCTTTTACCAAGCTGGCTAGGTTGACTGGCTGACTGCCTCGGTGGCTGCCTTGGATGGCTGGCCGACTGGCTGGCTTGGCTGGCTCACTACCTTCACCGTTCTTCAGTCGACTAGGCAGTGCAGGCGAGGCTGGACAATTTGATAATTGGATCTGCGGCAGCGTGATTTACCGTCCGAGGGTCCGGCTGACCATCCGAACACGGTAACAGGGCAACACGGTACGCGATTCTCCGTCTCTCTCGCTCGCACGCGAATTCATATTATATTCAGTGAGGATGTCAGAGGGGGTAGTCGTATGTGTATGGATACCTTCCCTTTCCTCCTCGTACGCGAATTAGCTAAAACTACGTCGCTACGGCTAGACGCTGTTTTATGGCCAAATTGAATTCTAATTGCGGCCTCCGAATTCTATTGCTATGCGGTACCAGATGGAAATCCATGCCAAGGAGGATTGGAGGTTCCTCAACGTGTCTTATGTTTGCCGGAATTTTCTTAAAATTTTATGTCCTTTTATTAACAAATCGCATGAATGAGTGAATATGGTACTTTGGGGAAGGTTTTAAACTGTTAATAGTGGTTATATGTAGAGTGAAGGTGGAATTTTTTATTGGCACCCTTTGCCATTGAAAGAAATGGATTCTGAGTGACTTTGGCCGGATGGTTAAGCCCTTTTTAAGAAAATCGGTTCTAAGAGTGGAAAGTACTGGAAGAATGTATAGAAAGTTTGTGGATATTCAATTTTTTGCGTGTTTTCGCAATCATCTTTTTTCTATGCTGGGCCTTTGATCGACGTGACGTAACGACCAAAGAAGGAACAATCGCAGATTTTCGAACGGATGCATAAGCGAATGATACTCGTCAGCGCACTGCAATCTACAGGATCTACTGGTCCTAAAGGATCCAGAGGATACATTGGGTGCACCATTAACCGACTTTATACTCTTGTTTGCTGGTTAAACCGTTTACAGGCGCACCGCACTGCGAGTCTCATTCTATGTCTCATTAACTGAGAAAGGAAATTCATTGTACCGCTAAATTGATGACAATGTCGGAATTTGAAAAGTCAATAAAATGACACAGAGAAAACACAAAATCCATCGTATGAAAAAATTAGACAGATCTCAAAAAAAATCGATAAAATTTTTACCACAAATAAAAAGCGTATCAAAATGTGCACGAAGCTTTAAGAATTGCTCATTTGATATTCGGCTAACCGATGTACCAGTGGGAAGCAAAGAGAGAGAGCGAGCTAGAAATAAAAAAGAAAAGCTACGAGAAAAAAGGGAATAAAAAGGGAAAGAATATGGGAACTGTATCGCAGAGTCTGTTACTCGGAACGGAGCGAGTTTACGTAACGGCAGGGCACAAAGTCATTTTCTTGGTGGGACGACGGAGAATAAAAGGACAATATAAAGTAGCTGCATGAAGATTGCTCGCGGTTTGATGGTGAGGATCCCCGTATGGCGGGATGGCCTCTCAAGTTGAATCAAATCTGCGTCAAAGAAGGAGGCGACGGATCATAAAATAAAACGTGGGATTGAGCAAAGCTCCTCGTAAAGTTCTCTTCTCATGCCGTCCGCAAACTGTCTAGAGTCACGTCGTATCGTCCACAAAAAGATATACCAACAGCTTTGACTTATATTCCATGTATACGCAGGTCAAGAAACGTACGTGTTATATATTTATAGGTTTTACATGTGATATATATTGACACGTGACCTTTATATATATATAACCATATAATATATACACACTCTAAATCCTATTGGCAATAATACAACGTAGTGGTGATTTAACGAGTATAGATTTAATCGAAATTTCATTGCCTTGGAAACCCTCGAAAGATCATCGCTCAAAATGGCATAGTCGTTCTTGTGGATTCTTTTGGATCGTAAAAAAAAAAGGTGTGTGTATCAGTATATACCTAAAGGAAGGTGCATTTAAGAATCCAACGTCGTAACGGCAAGGGCCATTCCCTCGAATAAAAATGTCGGTTTAGTAGCCAGCAGGAGTAAAACAAGAAAAAGGAAATAAAGACGTAGTCGCATGTGCACCGTGGACTTGACGACTTTCGACCAGAATAAAGAAAGGGACGAGAAAGATAAGTAGCAGTTCTTCCTTTTGATTCGTGACAAAATATATATATATATATATATAAAGAGGAAGACTGCGCTCACTTTGCCTGGACAGGCTTGAAGGCTTTGTTATATTTTCGTATTTCTACACTGAAAACAGGACCTTTGGTACCTTTTACAATAATGACGAAAGAAGAGAAATAAAAGTTGACACCTTTTTATTTCTTATAGCTGTCCTCCTTGCATTTAGTTCGTAGGTCGGTATAGTAAAAAGTTTAAATTACGAAGCGGTTTTACATTCTTGTTGAGGGTGAAGCGTGACCCCCCATCCCCTTCCGACTCCTCTACCCTTATTCGCAGTTCTGCCAACTGTGTGTGACTGAGTGCGTGTGCACCTTGCGGAAAGCTTCGTAGAACAAGGCAATGGGGTAGTCAAGGTGGTAAAGGAGTGGGACAACACAGCCTCTTCTTAGGATGGCGGTGCGAGAGGGAGAGGGTGGAGGGGGAGAGAAAGAGGTGGCGGAGACGGCGTGAAAGAGTGGAGACACCAAGAGAAGATATAAAGTTTCTCTTTACTCGTACATTTATTTTCGTTGTC